AAAAAAAAAAAAAAAAAAAAAAAAAAAAAGAATTAAGATCAGTTCTTCTCAACTTTATAGATTCAGTACAATTCCAATAAAAATCACAGCAAGTTATTTTGTAGATGTTGACAAATTAATTCTAAAGTTTGAGAGGCAAAAACCAAAACCAAAACCAGAATAGCAAACCTAATATTAAAAGAGAAGAATAGGCCGGGCACAGCGGTTCATGTCTGTAATTCCAACACTTTGGGAGACCAAGGTGGGGTGGATCACCTGAGGTCAGGAGTTCAAGACCAGCTTGGCCAACAGGGTGAAATCCTGTCTCTACTAAAAGTACAAAAATTAGCCAGGCATCATGGTGCATGCCTGTAATCCCAGTTACTCAGGAAGCTGAGGCAGGAGAATTGCTTGAACCTGGGAGGTGGAGATTGCAGTGAGGCAAGATCATGCCACTGCACACCAGCCTGTGCAACAATAGAAATTTGAGTGAACCATCTTGAAACAATAGTGAAACTCTGTCTCAATAAGAAAAAAAAAAAAGAACAAAGTCAGAAGATTGACAGTCCCAACTTCAAGACTCACTACAAAGCTACAGTAATTAAGATTGTACAGCATTGATGAAAGAAAAGACAAAGAGATCAATTCAACAGAATAGAAAGCCCAGAAATAGAGCCACATAAAAACAGTTAGCTGATCTTTGACAAAGGAGCAAAGACAATATAATGGAGCAAAGATAATCTTTTCAATGAATGGTACCGGAATGACTGGACATCCACAAGCCAAAAAGAAAAAGAATCTAGACATACACCTTACACCTTCACAAAAATTAACTCAACATGGATCATGGATATAGCTATAAAGTTCAAAGCTATAAAACCCCTAGAAGATAACTTAGGAAGAAAACTAGATGACCTTGAATATAGTGGTGACTTTTTAGGTAGAACACCAAAGGCACAATCCACAAAAGAAATAATTTTTAAGCTGGACTTCATTTAAACAAAAAACTTTTTTTTTTCCTCTGCAAAAGATAATGTCAAGGGAAAACAAAAGGCAAACCACAGATTTGGAAACAATACTTGCAAAAGACACACCTGATAAGGGACTATTATCCAAAATATACAAAGAATTCTTAAGACTAAACCGGAAGAAAATGAATAACTTGATTTAAAAATGGACAAATGTTCTGTTATGGTTAGAATGCAGTTTTTCCCCACCAAAACTCATGTTGAGGCTTAGACTTCAATGGGATGGTGCTGGGAGTTGGTGAATTCAAGAGGTATTGGGTCGTTAAGATAGATTAATGTCTTTCTTGAGAGACTGTATTAGTTCTCCCAGGAATGAATTAGTTCCTTGCAGAGCTGGTTGTTATAGGAAGGTTGCTTCTTGTATTTTGCCCTTTGTCACATGAGCCCAGTTCCCCTTTATTTCTCTGCCATGTTTTGATGCAGCATGAGGCTTCACCAGAAGCCACCAGATGTGACCACCCAATTTTGAACTTTCCAGCCTGCAGACCAGTGAGCTAAATAAACCTCTTTTCTTTATAAATTACCCAGTCTTAAGTATTCTGTTGTAGCAACACAAAGCAAGACAAGATCACGAAACAAGAACAGACACATCACCAAAGAACATATACAGATGGTAAGTAAGCATGTGAAAAGATGTTCAACATCATATGTCATCAGAAAGTTGCAAATTCAAACAACAGTGAGAAACCACTATACACCTGTTAGAATAGCCAAAATTCAGAACGTTGACAATGCCAGGTGCTGGCGCTGATGTGGAGCAACAAGAATCCTCATTCATTGCTGTGGGATTTCAAGATGGACAGCCACTTTGGAAGACAGTTTGGCAGTTTTTAAAACAATTAACATATTTGATACTTGTCCAAATAGATTGAAAGCTTATATCTACAGAAAAACCCAGGCCAGGTATGGTGGCTGAAACCTTTAATTCCAACAGTTTTGGAGGCTGAGGTGGGGGGATCGCTTAAGGTCAAGAAATTCAAGACCAGCCTGGGCAACATTGTGAGAACCTCTCTCTACAAAAAGTAAAAAGTTTAGCTGGCCATAGTAGCATGTGCCTGTAGCCCCCAGCTACTCAGGAGGTTGAGGTGGGAAGGTCACTTGAGCTTGGCGGGGGAGTTCGAGGCTGCAATGTGCCACTGTAAGTTTATGAATTGTAACAATGTACCTCTCTTGTAGGGGGTGGTCATAGTTGAAGAAGTTGTGCTTGTGTGCGAACAAGGGTTATATGAAAACAGTTCTTCCTGCTTAACTTTGCTGTGAAACTAAAACTGCGCTAAAAAATAAAGTTTATTAATTTAGAAAAAGAGAGTGGAAGTCCCAGTTTAACATCCATAACCTTAAGCCTTCATTTGAGAAGTTATTTTCTTGCCTTTACTAATTAAAAGTTGAAATGGAGGAAGAGAGCATACTCCTCTCTTTTGGGGGCCACCTATAATGTAAAGGGCTGTCTGAGGAGTAGTAGTTATTTCATTTCTATTGATAAGATCTCTGGGGAGCAGTCAGGTGGTAAGTGGAGAAAGGAGTATGGAAGGCCGCTGATGCAAATGACCTTTCACATTCCTGGGCTACCGTTTAGCTACAGGGAGCTCTGCAGTTGGCAGAGCAGAATCACAGAAAAGAAATGCAAAGAAGGGAGAACGAGGGAGGAGGGGACATAATAGTTGAGTCCAACTATCACCAAACTTCATAAAAATTAAATTCCAGAAAAGAGAGAGATTATGAGATAATTACTTGCTTTATAGAAATCTTTCAATATTTTATCAAAACATTTAAAATATTTTGCTAGGTAATACACACGAATATATGGAATAGTAAAAGCCAATAGCACATACTATGTTTATTGTTCTGCTTCCCACGTAATTGACTCATTTAATCCTCATTATAATCCCCATTTTACCACTGAGACAATTTAGGGTCACAAACACACACAGCCACTAAAGGGCAGTAGAGCTGTTTCCAAAGTCATGCTCTTAACTTGACCACCTCCTCAATAAGAAACAAAAAGAATGTTATTCTCCCCAGAAGACACCGTTTCCTGGGGATTCTTCCAGAAGATAGATAATTCAAGGAAACTTCTTTTGCAGGTTCATTCAAGTGTGTTTTTCAATAAGCAGTTTGGAGAATGGATTCAAATGCTCCTTTCCATTCACATGGCTAGTTCTGAGCTGCAAACTGTGAAGTCCCCCAGGCGCCTACAGAGAGGCACTGCCTGTTACATTGCCACCTGTAAGTCCACAGACGCACAAACAAGGGGCTTCTGATTTACTAGGCTTCTCCCCGCTGGTCCACAGAGCAGTTAATCTTCTGCCCCCAGGCAGAGTTTGACAGCTCCCAAAGGTCCCATGAAGCACTCTTTTCAAAGTGAAATTCTCAATCACATAAATTTGAAACAGACTTGGTCTGGATCCAGGTCCACACTCCCCATTCACCCATAGCCCCAGGCAGCAGTTGGCTACACTTCACTTCCTGGGTTTGTTGAGCTCTCTGGTGCAGACGAGGGTTTTCCTTCAATAAAACAGTGATTTAAAACCCTTCCTTATTCTTGTTTTGAGACTGTGCCAGGGCATAGCATTCTGTCTTCACCAAGGAGTACACAAAGTCAGCTGGGGCTCTGTGGCCACCCCCATGGTAGATAATCAGATAAACACTCTATTAGACCTAGCCATCTACTTTTGGAAGAATCTCTTCCTTTTATCCAATTAGAACTATTTTCATTCCTCTTTTTTTTCCTCCCTTAAAGTTTTATTTTGATTGTTTCTAAGTATTCATTTTCCTTTAGACATTCAGATTATTCCTCATTTTAGATTAGTGCCCACAGGCTCTCCTCACCTCTACTGGGTGCCTTAATGGTTTGATGATGATGATGATAATAACAAGGAAAGAGTTTCTTTCTCTTTCTGTAAACCCTAACTAAAAAGAAAAACTTGCAAAGGATGTTTTCTGCTTGTGGGGCAGTGGTGATAGCTGTAGGAAGCAGGCAAATCCTAGGCAGACAGAGGTGGGTCCCTGATGAAAACCCACCTTCAAATCAAAGAAAGTTTAAAGCCTGAAAACCAAGCTACAAATCTTGGATAAATCCATGGCCTGGCTTGAGAACCTCTCCTCCTGTTGGGGCGCTTTCCTCTGATTGACCTCCACCTTTCACCTATTTTTCATATACCTACCATTCCCTAACTGGTTTCATACACTGTCATGTCTATCTCTGAGAGGTGCCTTTTTTTTAGGCTTTTTTTTTTTTTTTTTTTGCATACTCACAAACCAATCAGCACACACTACCCCATTCTGAGCCCCAT